TTCCTCAGGCACCCGTGTACTGCACGTTACCAAAGTCGCCTTGTTGCATCAAACCAGAAAATAATGGATGATCAAAAGGCTTCTGCAGTACTTGATTTCAGAGGAGGTTTCCCTAATATGAATTAGGTGTGCTGGAACAGAGACGCTTCTAAAACAAGCAGGACAGGGGTTCCGGAAGACCACTGTTATGGCCTCTTTCCCACTGAAATTAGCAGGTTAACGCAGGTTTTTCAAACACAAGTCGACCCACTAACAGTTTGTATTAAGCCTCGTTTGCATTGGCCAAAAAAACTGGGTCTAAACGCCACTGGCAGGCTGCTTGACCTCTGTGACCCCCACTGCTGCGTGTCTGGTGACTGGGCATGGGAGTCGAAAACCAGTTCCTGTTTAGAGCCAATTCTGTGTGTTCCAATTCCATGGCACCATTTGGCAGCTCGCTTAACGATTCTCTTAATGGTTCCAGGCAGCACCAGAGCCTAGCGCTGGGCAGCACGATTTATGTCACGATTTTTACGCAAGTTGCACACACAGCATTCAGTAAGCAAGTACGACGTGATCAGTAAGTGTTGAGGATCTCCCCAATGCGACAGAAATCAGGAAAGTAAACAATGGAGAGCAACATGGAAGGGATCCAGCGCATAGTCAGTGTTCTTTATTGTTAGCTTATCTTGACCATCCTAATCTCCCTCACCATTGCTGCTCCAGGTTTATCGCATGTTAGAGTTGTTTTGGCTCTCTAGATCAGAGGTGACTGAGGCGATGTTGTGAGATTCGTACGTTGTGCTAACGTAAATTGGCAGGTCAACCTGGATCTGATATTCCCCTGTATGCCGATCAGAACTGAGTCGTCTGAATATTATTTTAACCTGGGTTACTTGCAGAGTCATTTGACAGGGGTCAGTGAGCCGTTCCCACTGCCACTAAAAGCTAATGTTCTGGGTGTAAACTGTTGTTTTGGCCAGTGGGAAACAGGTATAACTGGGCATAAACTGTTTTATTGTAGCTCCGCTTCAATGTTTGAGGCCTTAAGAGCTGAGCAGCTACTCACAGGCAAGGCTGGATCATCTGGATAAAAAAAATGAAATATTTCAGACCAAAGCCAATTAATTTTATTTCTTCCTTTGCTTTCATGAAAAAAAAATTATAATAATGCAGATATTACTTCATATCGTGCAATCCCTTCTGATTGAATTCAGAGTGCAGCCTAACCCAAACTAGAAAGCATGCTTGTTAAAAAAGTAAAAGAAAAGCTTACCACTGCGTACAGCTAGTAGATTTACACAACTTGCTAGTTTATTAGTTGTAAACATAAATGTAAGAACAAGAAGGGACAAAGAGTTTCTGCTGTAGTCCAAGGAGCGCAATGCTGAAAAAAAAAAAAAAAAATCTATATTTCATTCATTTCAATCTTGACAGAAATTCTGATAAATGGAAAAAGCCTATTGATTGGCCAGCCTTACTGACACTACCAGTGTCTGTCGGCCTACATTCAGATCAACCTTTCTTCAAATCAACTGGTCACTTTCCTGGTTTCAGCTCCTCATCATAATGCTGCCACCACTGTGTTTAAAGGTAGATCAGAACACATTCTTCGACATGTTTACATGTTTCATGCCATTTTGGTCCGACCTTTACTTTAGCTGAACACCTTTGGACAATGTTTTAAAATTAGAGCAGCAATTACTGGCTATTTTTGCAAATTGATGAATCCACTTTTTTGATGAATCAATTAATAATCCAATAGACAAACGTTTCTTAAAGAAGATTTTTTAAAGAAATTAAACCAGGTGAAACTAAAACTTATTAGCATATTGAAATATGAAAAGTTTTTTCTTTTTAAATATTAAATGCAAAACCTTTATTTTTTCACAATTTTGATATAATTGTTACTTTACGTGGGTCAATCTGTCAGCTAAATGCACGTTCTAGAGTCTCTACACTACATTTAACGATCAATCGATTACTAAATTAATCAATTAATCAATCAAGAAATTGATCAATTAATCCAATTAATTGTTTTAGTCCTATTTAAAATAATCCCTTCTGCAAACTTCTCCCCACCTTTCTCCATGATTTGTCTGGTATGCTCATCGATGATCTAAGGAAATGGTCTCCAACTCCAACCCTCAGGTTGCAACATCCTTCTACTTTTAGATGCTTTAATACAGCTGTGCTTTAAATACGTTAAAATCAGGAGGAGTCTATTTACCAATAAGGATTGTCCTGAAGGCCAAAGTTGATTTTCTCTCATTCTAACCAAAGCTTTATAAAACTGACATGCCACACTTTTCATATATTCACACGTAAAAAAAAAAAAAAAAAAGCATAAAAACAACCTTTTTTCATGTTTTGTTCCTCCCATTTAAGGCAATAATATTCTACTACATGTTTCCTGATAAATGGCGGCCGTTTCGGAGCTGTATCCAGTTACATAACATTAAAATATTAAAAGGACGTAAATATCTTTGCACGGCACTGAATAAACTATTATGCTGTTCTAGAAAGACACAAATTGCTCCTAAATGTCAAGTCAGCACACGGCGACGACAGAAGCACTTCTTGAAGGATACTCCTGAGCTTTTCAAGGATAAGACGTCCATAAATCTAGAAGATAAACCTTTCCTTTTTAAGATTTAATGAGATTCACCGAAGGAGCAGAAGTTAAAGAAAGGAAGAGGTGAGATAAAGAGGAATTTTCCTACGGCAATGTAATCATACTGTACACTCAAGTGCTGCAGGATGATGAAATAAATTAACTGTGCATTTAATCTCTGCCTTATCTTAAATTAAAGGAAGAAAAAAACAGATAAAAGGTTTAGGTTAGCTGCCAGGTATTAATCTATACATTTCTTCTGGGTTTGTTAATTACACACATGACTCAGAAAATACATCAGGAGTTAATTTTATGCCAAGAAGAGCATAATGAATCAATTGTAATCCCTTATCTGGATGAAGTGATTATCAAGTGTAAAAACACAAACATTATGAGGCAGAAAAGTCTTCAGGCACAAGGCTGATAAAGATGCAAAACAAATCACAGAACCTTGCCTGTTCAGAGCTCTTAAAACTTTCAGACATTTAATGGAATTTTATCAAATAAAAGACATTTTCAACAGCAATAAATAAAGATGAAATGTTTTGCCCATTTGTATTTAACACTCTTTATTCCAATTCCATTTAAAAAAAAAACTTTAATCTCCATGTTTAATTAACATGTGGGTTTAGAAGATTAGTCAGATGACAAGAAAAGATTAAATGCAGATTTAAAGTCAGATTAGGACTAAAACAACATCCAGACCTTTGAATCCATAACTTTGGAGGAGCTGTAGATATCTACAGCTCAGGTGGGAGAATCTGATAGTTGTTTAAGGCACAAAAATCTCCCTTTTATGAAAACATTGGCAAAAAGAAAGATGATCTTGAAAAGGAAGCCAGAGGATGTCTTATTTTCAGTTTCAGGGGACACAACAGATCAGACAATACCAAACTATATCAGTTTAAAAGTATTATTTCTATGAAGAAGTCATGTTGTGGGAATGCCTTGTCTCAGCCTGGCTTAGAATGAATCCAGCTTTACATTGGGAAGTCCGCGTTAAACCTAAAGCTTTGTTTTATAAATGTCAGACTACATGGATTTTGAGGTAAAACTACATCCATCATACATGCACGCCACACTTTTTAGATTTCTTGTAACAAGCGCTATAACGTTAAGTTAATTTGTGCTCGTTACAGTTAAACGTGTAAAAAGGTTTAATTAAAACCGCGGTAAAATAAAACTTACCGGTATTATGCAAAAAACAGCAGATGGTACCCCATTCTATTCCTGCAAAGGCGTTAAACTTACATACCGCTGTAGATTTCAGCCATTAACGATTCCATGCTAAAAATCTTCGAAGCCTCCTAATTAGCACACCTGGCAGCCTCAACAAGTGATGCCGCTTTCAGGTACACTCGGAAATTCAAAATTCAAAGAACAAGTAACTAGCTGACTGCCGGGTAAAACTATTTTATTGTTTATGTTTGTGTACAGGCTTGGCTGTAATATTGAGGAAGAGGATTAGGGCCACTGGAAAAAAATAAAAAACTTTAATTATTAATCTTAGAATTCTGACTTTTTTATTAGAATTCTGACTTTTTTCCTCAGAAATCTGACTTAAATCTCAGAATTCTGACTTTTTTCCTAAGAATTCTGATTTCAATCTCAGAATTCTGACATTTTTCCTGAGAATTCTGACTTTTTTCTCAGAATTCTGACTTTTTTCTCAGAATTCTGAGTTAAATCTCAGAATTCTGAGTTAAATCTCAGAATTCTGACTTTTTTCTTAGAATTCTGACTTTAATCACAGAATTCTGACTTTTTTCCTGAGAAGTGAGACTTGTTTTTCCTCAGATTTCTGACTTTTTCTGGGAATTCTGACTTTAATCTCAGAATTCAGACTTTTTTTTATCAGAATTCTGACTTTAATCTCAGAATTATGGATCTTAATGTAGATGGGCACCATGAAGCAAGAGATGTGGGAGCACTAAGCTTCACTGACAAAGATGTGAGTTGTGTGAGAGGGCCAGTGACACATTGGTGGAAAATGACGGAATTAGGGGACTTTTTACGTGCCCGAGGGGTCCCGGTGATGCTATTTCATTAATGGAAGAGCAGAAACTGATTAAAACAAGAGAGCTAACAGATGTGGCTACGGCTTGATGCTAACATGTTTGTTAGCTGTCAGAATTCGGTCAGAATTCTAAGATTAATGTCAGAATTCTGACTTTTTTCTCATATTAAACTGAAATAAAATTTTAAAATCAGTTAACTTTTTAAAAATTTTTCAGTGGCCATAATCATCTTCCATATTACGGAGTATAATATGCCTGTTTTCTGTTAGTATAGTATTATACAGTCAGGTTGGGCTGCTCATCAACTACGAACTTTTTAACTAGGTACCTGAATGCATCACAGTAACTTTGGACAGTACAGCTGCTTCGCGTGACCGCAGTTTGTCAGACCAATAATACAAGATGCGGAGGATGTCGGAGGAGGTTCATCCTCCTACTGAACAGAGGTTAGTTTTGTTTATTTTATCCGTTCTGGGTTTTTTATTCATTTCTACAAAGTGAGTAAATATCGCTGCTATAAACGTAAAACCTACAGTATATAAACTAAATGTTGTGGTTTCTTTACCGGCATTGCTCCTTCAGCTCAACTCTGTCCTGAACCCCATGACAAGTCTTTGTTTATATATAAACCTTATTATAATTTGTCACAGGAACCATTTTTCAGCCTTCTTTAAATAGCAGTTTATCATCTATAAGTTATTTTTTGTGACACAATATGCCAGGGTTTCCTGATGATCCTTTATGGCAAATTTTACTCTTGTTTAAACTTATTTTCTTTAAATAACTCCCCATTTGTTTGCTTTTACTGTTCTAGATGTTTACTTTGGGTAAATATGGCAGATCATTATAGCATTTAATGTGTATACTGACTTGAAAAGTAAGGTTTATTGTTATTCATTCAGTGATATTTTACTACATCAATCTGTTCACCTAAGAAATTCATTGTAAAATTAAAATTTATTATAAATTGTACAGTTAAAAGTGTTTTAGATAACCCACAGAGAAGTTTCTGGGCTTCGTATTGTGTCTCGCTTGATGTTGTTAAGGTTTTTCTTGTCCAGAGATAACCAGGGAGCACTGATAGCAAAAGATACACGGCCAAAGTTCAATGTATGGTTTCTGTTTGTGCGTACTCTCCTGTCTGCCTGCTGGGCTGCCTGTTTATTGACTGAACTTCAGTTCGTGGATTCTAAACTGGCTGCCTTCCTGGTGCCCCACATCTCCAACTCAGCTTAAAGATGCAGAGGAAAAAATGTTAAAGAGTAAGAAAGAAAAAAGAACAAACTTTTATTTCCCACTACTTTTCCCCACATCTTATTGTCCCTTCTCTCTGCTGAAGCTGTGAAGCGACCCTATTCAAGGCAGCACATCCGCATATCCAACAGTAACTACCTGTGGACCATCGCCTTCTCCACACACCTGCATCCCAACTCAACGTCACTCCCACAGCCAACCAGGACTCCTTTGGTTCTGCTGCATGGGTTTGGGGGCGGCCTCGGGCTTTGGGCCCAGAACCTGGACGCCCTGTCCAGCTGCGGACCCGTCTACGCCCTGGACTTGTTGGGCTTTGGAAGGAGCAGCCGCCCCCAGTTCAGCACCGACCCCGAAGAGGCAGAGGAGGAGTTTGTTTTGTCCTTGGAGGAGTGGAGGGAGAAGGTGGGCCTGGATGAGATGGTTCTGCTGGGACACAACCTGGGAGGATACCTTTCTGCTGCTTACGCGCTCAAGTACCCAAACAGGTGCTTTGTTACAACACTAACATAAACTGGACTCTATACATTTCTGATCTAACTACAGGATTTCTACATCCGCAGGGTGAAGCATCTGCTGCTGGTGGAACCGTGGGGATTCCCTGCCCGGCCAGAGAACCCTAACCACTACTCCATCCCAGTGTGGATCAGAGCCATCGGTGCCATCATGAGCCCATTCAACCCTCTGGCCGGTCTCAGGCTGGCTGGGCCTCTGGGTCAGAACACACACATTAACAAAAATATTACATATTAAAAAGCTGCAGGTGATCACATCAACATTTTTATACAAAAACTCTTTAATTATTACAGTTTAAGTGGCATAACAGTTACAACATAACCTTAGCCGGTCTTAAAATGGTAGTTAAATGATATTTAAAGCCATATAGCTTATTATAATAAGGTAACAGCAAAAGCAAAGCCAAAATAAAGAAAAAAGTTTAGAAATTCTTCAGTTCTAGCTCATATTTTCTAAAGGGAACTAAACTAAAGAACTAAAGGGCAATTTCTTTTTTTCCAATTTATTTTGGTTTATGATAAAAAGTCTATGCAACTTTTTAATTGTGACACATTTTTAGTTTCGGTCAGAATCATAAAGGTGATAGTTAGCATAATGCAAACTTAGAAAAAAAACAGAAGATCTTTTTGACATTAGTCGCAGTGGGGAGGCCATAAGGCTATTTTCTTTTTGTTTTTATGGGAAAAAAGGAAAACAAGCCTATTTCTGAACAATGTAGAATCCATTATTCCGCTGTTTGACAGCTTTTTCACGGGTGGAAACCATTCTGGACTGTCCCTGGTTTTCCCAGAAATGAACGTCCCAGGAAGTTTACCCTTGGGAAAGAATGTGCAAAGCGAGAAAAAAAAAAAAGCCTGAATCCTGCCTCTAAGACTCCCACTGTCATAACAATTAAATTAGAAATAGACAAAACAAGGGTTTGTTTGAGTTTTTTCTTTTTTTTATCTGAATAAAGCCAGAAATCTTTTAGAGAAGACCATGTTGAACAGATTAAAATGAGTTCCTCCTGCTAATTTTCAAGCATTGAATGACTCTCCTTCTTCAGGTCCGATGTTGGTCCAGACAATCCGCTCAGATTTCAAGCAGAAATACTCCTCTGTGTTTGATGACAACACCGTCTCCGACTACATCTACCATCTCAACGCCCAGACACCCAGGTGAAACACCCCTCCAGCCCCACACACAGCCCTTTAAGCTCTCATCAACCCCTTATATGATCCTTCTGTTTTTCAGTGGAGAGACGGCCTTTAGGAACATGACCATTCCGTACGGATGGGCCAAGAGGCCGATGCTGGAGCGGATCAACGGGGTCAGAGCTGATATTCCCATCTCCTTCATTTATGGGTCTCGATCCAGCATCGACAGCAACTCTGGATGTGCGTTGAAGAAAACCAGACCAGACGTAGAAATCATCGTAGGTCCCTTTAAACGATTTTATTTCCTCCACTGCTGCCGTTCTGTTCACAGCAGAGAAAAAGGTCAAGGAAGGTTTCAAACTTTACGTCAGAATCAATTTCTGTGTTTGTAATCATCAGGTGATCCGAGGCGCAGGTCATTATGTGTTTGCTGACCAGCCGGAGGACTTCAACCAGACGGTCCTTCGGATTCTTGCCTGGACGGAAGGAAAAGACGGCGATGAAAACACAAAGCAGTGAAACGCTAAAGGGAATCAAATATGAACACATTATACTACCAGAGAAATAAGCCCCCTTATCACGCACTTTACATGAGATCGGTCAAAAACTCTCATCACTCCATTCTTCTTAAGGTAACTTCTCTGGGTTTGGGTAAAAAAAGTTCCCAGGGTTATTTTAAATGTGTTTTGTAAATAAATATGAATCTGACTCTGCCTTGTTGGTGTGATTCCTCAGCATTTGTTAATACTACTTCTCTGAATTCTTTGGGCAATGATTCTCTCCGGGGAATTTGCTCTGTTGATCCAGGCAGGATAAACGGAATGACAGGAATATAAGGGAAAGGTAAACAGGGGCAAAGGGCTGCAGTGATTCTCAGGAAGCTTTTTAACTTCTTAGAAACACTGAGCAGGAATAGCCAGCAGATGGCAGTGTAGCAGCATCCGGCCTTGCAGTAAGAAAATAGAAAATTGCAACACAAAGCAGGCCTCACATGCATATTGAGCTGAGTGACCCACTCAGGAGACCTGGACAGTGATGCTCTAAGAGTAGTCCGACACTCAGCCCACCACTAAGTCACAGCTGCAGTGACAGAATCAGGTCAGAGACATGTGTTGGACTAAAAATAGGCTTCTGTTTGAAGAGGCATCGCTGTGATTTCAAGAAACTCTTGAGTCTGCAGAAAATGGTCAAGCTGAGAAAAACTGAAATGTATCCCCTCGCAGAGAATGCTTGAGTTTAACCACAACACCTCATCTCTGGCAGTTCTCTCTGGAGTCACCTAATAGAAAAAAAGAGTTTAACCAATAAAACTGGACTTAAAATAAGCACAGTTTTCATTTTGGTTTTGTTCCGAGTAGAAACAAGGTGAATTAAATAAAATAAAATCTTTATAATGGACCCACTGAAAAACACTTATTATATTATAACGAAGTTTCAAAATGATTTTGTCCCAAAAAAGCATTTAAATAAAATCATCATGTTACTTTTCAAGCCTATTTAATTGAAATCAAAAATATGTCTAAACAAGAGAAGCTCATTTAAGGTTGGACTGGCCTTAATGTAAGCTAAAATTTATATGCTATCATTGGTCAATTCCAAATACGACTGAGTAAAAAAGATGTTTGGTTTAAGTGCTGAAGTCTTTCTTTAACACAAGCAAGTTTTACAGAATCAAAGATGGAATACAGGATGTGAGAAGAATGATAAGAAAGAAATGAAGCAACAAAAATAATAGGCTAATTGCAAAGGTTTTAGACTTTTAAACCAGCCATACTACTTCTGGTTCATTTAGGCTTCAGCCATATTAAGTTACAACCACAGTTTTCATTTGTTGGATCAGGAATCTGCAACCTTGGTCTTGCAGCTCGTTTATTGATGCACTCTTATCCTAACTTTTTTTTTATTGTGTCGCTATTATATTTGTTGCCCCCATGAAAAAACACTTGCACCAAAAATTAAGTACATGAATCTATTTGTATCACTTATTTTTAACTTTGGTTTACCATGAGCCGAGTTGAAGTCTTACTTGAATGTTATTTGTATTTAAATATTTATATTGTGTATATAAATATTGTTCGGCCAATTTTATTTCTCCTATACTACACAGTTTACTTGCAACAAAACAAAAAAAATAGTGTTGAAAGTTTATGACAAGCAACCCCAGACTACTGTAAGAGTAATTCAAAATAAAATATACTTTTATAATCTAAAAGTAGACTTCAAAGTTTATACCGATTAAACTAAAAGTATACCTGGAGGACTACTTTGAATATACTTTAAAGAACACATAATGTGGGCGAATGTAGTATATTGTTTAGTAAACTGCTAGTATTCTTGCATCTATGAGCTGCTAAACTTGAGATATTTACTTATATATACTGTTTTATAAATAGGGAAACTTGAAAACATGAACTTGAAGTATATTTAGCGTTGGTAAGGGAGACGTGATAGCCACAGACGGCTCAGTCCTCCTTAGAACCTTCACTATTTTGCTTCATAATCTCATCATTTTCCAACATGTTAAGACATTATTAACCTTGTGAATACGTGTTTAAATTCATCCTATTAAGATAGAATGCAACAACAGCCTTATCATTAATAAGCTTAGCTTGCTAGCATGTTTGACTTTAGCAGTAGCATCACTGCTAAGCTAGCTAAACCAGAAGACAAACAACTTCTTGGGCCAAAAACAAGACTTTTTTAAATACAATTCTATGATAATTCTCACCCCTTTCACTGAAAAAATAATGCAACCACTTTTGACATTGACTTAATCATATTTAGTGACTTTAACACATTTTTGAAGTACCTACCATGCTAACATGAAAATATGATTAAGTAAATGCCAAAAATGGTTGCATTATATTTTTCAAAAGTTTATTTATTCATACTATATATATTTGCTTTATAGTGCGATTAAATAAAACAACTAAATAGTATGATTTGAATCAAATATTTTGTTCTTTTTCCAAACGGTTATTTGCTGTATTTTTGGCCCATTCCACCTGATAGAGCTCTTGTCTTTCCCATTTTTTAGGAGCAACAAGATAAATGGTAAATTTGGAGCCGTTCACCAAATGAACGTCCAATCAGCGTTGGCTTTGAGGCGGGTTGAGGTGTGATGCAACGAGAAGCGTGACAGTTCAGCCTTAAGAACATGGCGGCTTCAGCCGATGAAACTAGCGTTAGTGTGGCTATCGAGCAAGTTTTATCGGAATTACAGAGTATTTCTTCACTGAAAGAAGAGCAAAACACTGCTGATGTTTTTGCTCTTCTCCCGGCTGGTTTCGGCAAGAGTTTGATCTATCAATTGGCTTGTGCCTGGCTTGTGGTTGTATTTTCGTCGTCGCTCTGTTGTTACGTCATATGCTTCGTTGATCTGATTGGTTTATTTGGCCCGTCTATCACCAACATAGGCCAATCAGCTAACCAGTATTTTCGCCCCTTCCCAAAATTACTTCAACGGAAGGTTTCCAGATGGATATGCGGAGCAAATCCATCTGGCAGAGTCAGGTTAGATAAATGGATCCCTGTTTCACAATAAATTTTCTCCCACACATTTTTTGCTTCTGTAAAACATGTTGAATTACTTTATAGGCTTTTTATCTATTTTATCAGAGGCACCAACAATATTACTGCATCAGCCCCATAGTTTCAAGCATAAATTTAGAGATATGCATAAAATTGTCTAAAAATAATACGACTTAAGTGGGATGGTTATATTAGTTGAACCAGTAAGACCCTTGATATCTTGGCCTTGGCCGTCGCAGCAGCTCAGTTACCTCTGCCCATCTCTGTCACTTCTAAAACATCAACCCAGCCTGCCCCAGCTGTCTCCAGGCAACAGGGTAGCCACGGAGACAGACTCTTTTGGATTAGCTGATCTACAGGAAGTGATCCCACGGTCGGACAAGGTAATTATGGGTTGCTTTCTTGAAGATGCTGGCTTTCTGTCCGGCTGTTTTTCAAGGCAGCTCCATGTGCACGGCCTCTTGGGGAGGAAAACGTGTGCTCACAATGTGCCCGGGCCTCCGTCCAAATATATTTACTTAAAAAGCTTGAAAGCTTTTTCTTCACACACGCACACACTCTCCTTTTCTATCTTTGTCACCCACTCAGTCACATGATCATCAAATCATTTTATTATGAAACTGAAAACAAGGGAGATGTGACAGCATCTTTCATGCTGGGTTTGGATATAATTGAAAGCACGGTGGCTTGAAATAACTGTCGCTAAAAGATGGCTGCACACAATTTTAATGCTTTTGGTAAACTAGCTGCTTGTGGGGGAGACCTGTACTGTCATACCGTTAATGAGGACATAATCGCATAGGTTACAAGACTTGATATTTTCTCTCATTTGAGCTCCTACAGTACTCTTTAAGGGCACTTACATCTTCCAAATTTTAAATGGGTTTATTTATTTATTTTTTTATTCCACTGTTCTTTGATACCCCTGAATAAGAACCAACATGGCCTTCAAAAGCCAATTCATTCAATCAAACTTAGTATTATTATAGCAGTGTTATTTATAATGAAATCAAAAAGCTTCAGAGATTTGTAGGAGGAAATTTTAAGGCAACGATTCATCCAGACCAAATACCACTAACAGGCGTTGTGAGGAAGTTTAAAGGTGGGTTTGGTTATAAAACAATATCCCATCTTTAAAGATTTTACAGAGCTCTGGTAAGTCCATCATTTCACCTTAACCAAGCAGGGCTTTAAAGAGCAGCATTGATCAGAGAAGCAGCCAAAACACCTATTAAGTATCCAGGAGCTGCAGAATTGAGATGACGAATCTCCTGAAAACAACAACTATTAGTCACACTCTCCACCAATTGGTCATTTATAGAAGAGTGCAAAAAAATAAAACAATGGGAAAGTCTGTTTTGAGTTGGCTTCAAGCAGTGTAGGGGAAACAGCAAACGTGGGTGAAATTTCTATTGTTAGATGAGACCAAAATAGAATAGGTAAAATGCTATAAGATAAAATTAACATTTACTCATGCTTCTCATCTTCTACGTTATCTGGGACTGTGTCGAGGGGGCAGCAGTCTCAGCTGAGACTCCCAGAGTTCCCTCTCCTCGGACACCTCCTCCTGGGGGAAGCCTGAGGCACCAAAGGCCAGTAGAGAAACATAGTCCTTCCATCGTGTCCTGGGCTTCATCAAGGTGGGACGTGCCTGGAACACCTCTCCAAGGGTTCCTGGGATCTCACCTTGGAGCCACGTCTGAGGTAGAGGTTCATGATCAAGCACCATGTGGTCAGATTAATCCTTGCCGGATGGAAGGCCGTTCCCCATTGGTCCCACCACTTTCAGGGGGAACTATAAGACCCAGTGCTCAAAGGATTGGGCAGCAGAAACGCAATCTGATCCGGACATTTAATCTGGCATGAAATTACAGTTAAAAAAAAACACAAATGCATGATTAAGAGCTTAAAGATATAAATGTATCATTTGAAAATGGACAAAAAACTATTTCTTAGGTTGTTTTGATGCTATTTGAACTATTATAACACCTGTAGTTCATAAAATGTTTGTATAATTAACCACTAATTTGGTTCCAGTACCATTTGATCAGAGAGATTTTAGAAAGCACAAGACGCGCTTAAACCTTTAAACCAGTTTAAGTCATTCTGTACAGACCCCTCCCTTCTACTTTTTTACCACAGTAAAGATTTCTGAGCACAGATGGATTTAC